TCCTCTAGTCCCAAACATGGCTTGCTCATTCTCATCCTTCAGGTCCTATTGTATGTGTTATTTCTTCAGAGAGATCAAATCATTCTGACTACTCTATTTAAAAAGTTTTTCTGGGAGGACCGCTTGAGGTCAGGAGTTTGAGACCAGCCAGACCAACAGGATGAAATCCTGACTCTACTAAAAATGCAAAATAAGCTGGGCATGGTGGCAGGTGCCTGTAATCCTAGCTACTCAGGAGGCTGAGGCAGGAGAATTGCTTGAACCTGGGAGACGGAGATTGCAGTGAGCCGAGATTGCATCACTGCACTCCAGTCTGGGCAACGAGTGAGACTTCATTCAAAATTAAAATAAAATAAAATAAAATAAAATAAAATAAAATAAAATAAAATAAAGTAAAATAAAATAAATTGAAGGCCGGGCATGGTGGCTCATGCCTGTAATCCTGGCACTTTGGGAGGCCAAGGCAGGCAGATCAGTTGAACTCAGGAGTTCAAGACCAGCCTGGGCAACATGGCAAAAACCCATCTCTACTAAAAATACAAAAAATTAGCTGGGTGTAGTGGTGCATGCCTGTAGTCCCAGCTGCTTGGGAGGCTGAGGCACAAGAATTGCTTGAACCCGGGAGACGAAGGTTGCAATGAGCCGAGATTGTGCCACTGCACTCCAGCTTAGGAGACAGAGTGACACTCTGTCTCAAACAAACAAACAAACAAAACACATAACACAACTGCCCCCCCAACTGCCATGCAAAAAAAAAAAAAAAAAAAAAAAGGGTTTTCAAAGCTGAGGCCAGTAGGATCACTTGAGTCCAAGAGTATGAGACCAGCATGGGCAACAGAGAGAGACCCTGTCTCTACAAAAAACCTGATAAATTAGCTGGGCATGGTGGTACATGCCTGTGGTCCTAGCTCCTCAGGAGGCAGAGGTGGGCGGATGCTTGAGCCTTGGAGGTCAAGGCTGTGATGGCTATGATGGCACCACTGCACACCAGCCTGGGCAATAGAGTGAGATCACCTCAACAACAACAACGACAGTTTTCTCCGTTCTATCACTTAATAATAAACGTTATTATTATTCCTACATAACATTTACCACTATCACAGTTATGTGTTGACTTATTTTTATTTTTTGTCTATTGACTGTCCCTAAGCTCCATGAGGGCAGAAATCTTACCCATTTTGTTCACTGTTATAGTAACTAGCATTCAATAAATATAGGAATAAATAAACAAATGAACATGGATCATAACAGTTCAGAGGAAGACAGGATTCCTCCTCTGTTAGTCAGTTCAGGCACTGGGAAGGACTTTGCTCAGTGTGAGGGAGACAGAGTGTACCTGGAGAAGAAGGTGTAAATGCAAAAGCAGAGGAGAGTAAGCTGAGATGGGATGTGCAGGGACTGTAGAATTGCAGAGTTGGAACAGCTTTTTTTTCTTTTTTCAGATGGAGTCTCACTCTGTTGCTGAGGCTGGAGTGCAGTGGCATGATCTCAGCTCACTGCAACCTCTGCCTCCTGGGTTCAAGTGATTCTCGTGCCTCAGTCTCCTGAGTAACTGGGATTACAGGCGCATGCCACCACGTCCAGTTAATTTTTGTATTTTTAGTAGACAGGGTTTCTCCATGTTAATCAGGCTGGTCTTGAACTCCCAGTCTCAAGTGATCTGACTGTCTTGGCTTCCCAAAGTGCTGGGATTACAGGTGTGAGCCACTGCGCCTGGCCAACTTTCAAGAAGAAGTGGGTGTAGGGAAAGGAATACGGCTGACATGCCTTCAACTCCTTGCCTTCCTGTAATTGCCTGTGTAACTTTGGATGTATCATTTAATTTTGAGTTGTCTTCACCTGTACAGTGTGGAAAATAATCCTTAACATGGACGGTTATTGTGAATAGTAACACTTTATACTTAGGATCCTATTGGAATGCATGTGATGACAAATGGTAGCCATTTGCACCAGGATTTCATTCAGATTCTCAGCTGAGGGAGTGCACCGAAATCAAACTTGGAGCTTTGTAGAAACATGGATATCAAGAACCCAGTGCAGTACTACTGAATCAGAAGAGTTAACTGTGGGTGGGGGTTTAAAAATCTGATTTAGGGTTTTAAAAGACCACATCCAGCACATGCATTTTTCTAAAGTTTCCCAGGGGATTCAGATGTATAGCTGTTAGAACCGTGCATTTAATCCAAGCCATGCCGGAATCCTCTCCAAATATCTCTTGCTGAGGGATTGTCCAACTTGAATAGCTCTGTTAATGGGGAGCTCACAGAGCCACAGATCCAGGCTGCTTCCCAATGGGGCATCCACCTGAGCCTTTGAGACTTAATCCCTAGAGAACAAGTTTTTCATTTCTTATCAATTGGGTGATATTTGGTAGTAATTAAAAAAAAAATCTTGCCGGGCGCGGTGGCTCAAGCCTGTAATCCCAGCACTGTGGGAGGCCGAGGCGGGTGGATCATGAGGTCAAGAGATCGAGACCATCCTGGTCAACATGGTGAAACCCTGTCTCTACTAAAACTACAAAAAATTAGCTGGGCATGGTGGTGCGTGCCTGTAATCCCAGCTACTCAGGAGGCTGAGGCAGGAGAATTGCCTGAACCCAGGAGGCGGAGGTTGCTGTGAGCCGAGATGGCGCCATTGCACTCCAGCCTGGGTAACATGAGTGAAACTCTGTCTCAAAAAAAAAAAAAAAATCTTGCAGTCCCAACTAAAGTCATCATGCCTTCCAGTATTCTTGGTCACATCCAAGATGGAAGCCAATCTAGCTATCTTTTGTACTTTCATCCCTCTTGTATTTGTGCTTCTTCTCTAATCCAATGATTTGTTGCTGGGTTCCCTCCCAGACTTCTCCACTGAGCACTTTAACCTTCTACCTTCAGTGTACATGAACCTATACCTCCAACCTCTTTAGTGATTTTCCCTCTACTTCCTGCTGTAACTGAACTCTGTCTTAAATTAGAAGATGTTTCAGATGTCAACAATGACTAGGCAGTCTTATGAAACATTAACCATCTGTTTGGTTGGTTTCTTGTGTACACACAAATATATTCATTCTTGGAATGTCTGGGGCCATTAAACATGTCTAAAGGTTTGATGCTGGGAAAACATGATGAGGGCCAAGGGGTCTTGTGTCTGGTGACTATGCATGAAAAGTGAACAAAGCTTTGTGGGAAAATGTGGGACGTGAGAGGTAGACAGGATTGGAAATTAGATGAGATCCTGCTCTGGGAAGTCTTCCTCCTGGAAATAACTCTGGAGTCCTGCAACAGATCAAGCATCCATAATAAGATGGAAAAGAGTGCAATTCCATTAAATCCACGCATTCTGTATCTGAGGCTCATTTAAAAGAAGCCATCTATTTCTAAGGCCAAGGATGGTTGATGGGGATATGGGAACAGGTTATATAATTTTCTCTAGTTTGAATGCTGTTATTTCAATAAAAGGACTTCTGTTTAAAAAGCCTCGTTGTCAGAAGGGCTTAATTGTCTTGGCTTTCTACAGATTGGGGAGAAAATTAAAAATCAGAATGAATGCCATAAGCTTTTTTCTTTTTTTCTCTCACCATGGCAGAACAGATTTTTTTTTTCTTTCTGTATTTTGGTGTAACTTGGACTATTGGTTACATTAGAAATTATTATAACCATCTTATTACATATTTATTATACTTTATTGAATAACATTGTATCCATGAGTGCTATTGTATAACATGAAACACTGGTATGCTTTACGTCTTCCTATCAACTCACTGCTCTGGTTTTATTGAAATAATTTGAAATTTTATTTTTATTATTCCTTTACATTGTTCAGCTTTTAGTTCTAGAATCCTTTACTAATAGTTATATCAAGCTCTGCAATCACGTTTAAATGATTATGGAAACTTATCCGTACAGCTTGCTGATTTCATTGCTCCTTGGTATTTTTTTCTAAAACCTGTCCACCCTGCACACTTATTCTTACAATATTTGTTCTGATTCATCTTTTTGATTTTTTTCACCAGGAAAGATACACAGATAGATTTTTTAAAAATTCTAAAATATCTGAAAATATCTTTCTTGGGCTCTTAAGTGAAGTATAGTTTGGCTGGGTCTGGAATGGTCATGTCATAATCTTTTACCTTTAGATAGTTCTTCATAAATATTTAATTGTCTTTTAGTAGTCAGAGTTTAGAAAAAAAATTTCCTATCAATTTTGTAATTCTGGGTTTGTCTCCTTCTATGCAACTGATTTTTTTTCTTTGAAAGGTGCATATAAGTTGAATCTTTAGGAGATAAATACTTTCTCCATTAATTTGCTTTAAAAAGTTCAGACATTTTGAATGTAGTCTATTTAACAATCAGTTGGCGATAATTGCTACAGTTGCATTAGCATCTATTCTGGGGTTGATAAGCTGAAGATACATAGTAAAAGGTACCAGAGAACTGTAGCATTTGAAAGAACCCTAAGATATATTACTTCGTAGACCAAGGAATTTTTTTTTTTTTTTTTTTTTTTTTTGTGGTAGAGTTTTGCTCTTGTTGCCCAGGCTGGAGTGCAATGGCAAGATTTTGGCTCACCGCAACCTCCGCCTCCTGGGTTCAAGCAATTCTGGCTCAGCCTCCCAAGTAGCTGGGCTTACAGGCATGGGCCACCATGCCTGGCTAATTTTGTATTTTTAGTAAAGATGGGGTTTCTCCATGTTGGTCAGGTTGATCTCGAACTCCCAGCCACAGTTGATCTGCCCACCTCGGCCTCCCAAAGTGCTGGGATTACAGGCATGAGCCACTGCACCCAGACTGGAATTCTTCATAAGTAAATAATCTCATAATTTGACCATTCTCTATGTGTGCATGTTTGGAAATTTTATTAAATTCAGACATACCTACATTGGATTATTTGATGGGATTAGTGTTTTCTCTTCTCGTTTGAGTAGCCTCTATCACTATTAAATATTTATTTTAAAGATAAGAATTGTAGGACTTGAAGTCAGGGCTTACAACCAGTGATGTGTTGGTTTCCCATTGCAGAGATCAACTGTGGCAACCCTCCAGAAATGCGGCATGCCATCTTGGTAGAAAATCACAGCTCCAGGCTGGGTGGTGTGGCTCACTACATCTGTCAGGAGGGCTTTGAGAGCCCTGGAGGAAAGATCACTTCTGTTTGCACAGAGAAAGGCACCTGGAGAGAAAGCACTTTAACATGCACAGGTACAGATTCTGTTCTTCTGGGCCTCTGCTACCCAGGAACAAAACAGCCAGCGGAAGCTGAGGGCCTAAAACGATCTGATTGCTGCTTCCCTCTATGTACTGTGCCCAACTCTGCTATTTACCTAGTTGTACACCTGGCTTTAGATTTGTCAGCTAAATCCTGAAGATTTAGAGGGTGGATTGGGAAAATAAGTTGGATGGAAAATATTATGCATCCATCTCTTGAGACTTACCTTAAATCGCTGCAATTCCTGTCTCCTCTGCTTGGCTGGCTGAGAAATTTTTCTCCATGAACAATTTCCTCAGAGGGGCATACTCCTAACTTAACACCTATTGACCACTTTTCAGAGAAAAGATGGTATGACAAAAAATCATTTTTTGATGTTTATTAATTGTGTTAACACACATAAAACATAAAATGTATCATCTAATATAGTTTTATTTTATTTTATTTTATTTTGAGATGGAGTCTTGTTCTGTCACCCAGGCTGGGGTGCACTGGTACAATCTCAGCTCACTAGAACTTCTGCCTCCTGGGTTCAAGTGATTCCCCTGCCTCAGCCTCCCGAGTAGCTGGGATTACAGGTGTCCGCCAACATACCCAGTTAATTTTTGTATTTTGAGTAGAGATGGGTTTCACTATGTTGCACAGGCTGGTCTCGAACTCCTGGCCTCAAGTGATCTGCCTGCCTAGGCCCAAAGTGCTGGGATTACAGGTGTGAGCCACTGACCCTGGCTTACCATCTAATATAGTTTGGGTGTTTGTCTCCTCCATATCTCATGCTGAAATGTGGTCTCCAATGTTGGAGGTGGGGCCTGGCGGGAAGTGTTTGGGTCATGGGGGTGGATCACTCAGGAATGGCTTTGTGTCCTCCCCTTGGTGATGAGTTCTTGCTCTTAGTTCACATGACAGCTGGTTGTTAAAAGGAGCCTGGCACCTCCTTCTCTCTCTCTCTCTCTCGCTCCCTCTCCTGCCATGTGACATGCTTGCTCCCTCTTCGCCTTCTGCCACTTCGTCAACTTCCCAAGGCCCTCACCAGAAGCGGATGTTGGTACCATGCTTCCTGCAGAACCATTAGCCAGATAAACATATTTTCTTTATAAATTACCCAGTCTCAGGTATTCCTTTATAGCAACATGAAACTGATTACTATACCATCTTACTTATTTCTAAGTATGCTATGTATACTGTAGTATATATGTTTATGTATACTCATGTTGTTGCACAACCAATCGCCAGAACTTTTTTATCTTGCAAAACTGAAACTTTATACCCATTAAACAGCAACTCCCCATTCGCCCCTCCCCACAGCCCCTGGAACATCACCATTCTACTTTCTGTCTCTTGTGAATTTGACTGCTGTAGGTATCTCATGTGGTACTTGTCCATTTGAGACTGGCTTATTTCACTAAACATAATGTCTTTAAGATTTATCCATGTTTTAACCTGCATCAGCATTTCCTTTCTTCTTAAGACTGAATAATAGTCCATTGTATGAGTATCCCACGTTTTGTTTATCCATTCATCTATTGATGGACACTCAGGTATGTTCCATTTTTTGGCTATTATGAATAATACTGCTACGAGATGTATGTACAAATATCTCTTTGAGACCCCAAATATCTCTTTGAGATCTCTTTCAATTCTTTTGGGTATATATCCAGAATTGGAATTGCTGCAGAAGGGAGTTTTGTGGCCAGGCACAGTGGCTTATGCATGTAATCTCTGCACTTTGGGAGGCTGAGGCACGTGGATCACTTGAGGTCAGAGGTTTGAGACCAGCCTAGCCAACATGCTGAAACCCCATCTCTACTAATAATACAAAAATTAGCTGGGTGCATTTGCTTACACCTGTAATCCCAGCACTTTGGGAGGCCAAGGCAGGAAGACTGCTTGAGCCCAGGAGTTCAAGACCAGCCTAGGTGACATAGTGAGACCCCATCTCTACAAAAAATTAAAAATTTGTCAGGTGTGGTAGTGCACACCTGTAGTCCCAGCTACTCGGGTGGCTGAGGCAGGAGAATCACTGGAACCCAAGAGACAGTGGTGAGCCAAGATCATGCCCCTGCACGCCAGCCTGGGCAACAGAGTGAGACTCTGTCTCAATAAAAAAAAGGAGTTTTAAGACTTCAGTTCATATTCTAGCAATACCATATATTAGCTGTGTGTCATTAGGCAAGGCTTTCAGAGCCTAGGTTTCCTCATCTATAAAAGGGGGAATTAAAGTCTGTCTTTCTTACCTCAAAGAATGTTGAGAAGGCATCAAATGAGATCATCTCTGGGTACATTTTAGAAAGCTGAAAGCACCATGAACATGTCAGTCTTTTTCCTCAAGTTGTTAGCCTCACGTGAGGACCTTCTTATGAATCAGAAGTGTGCACTTCTACATGATTCATTTCACACCTCTGCCTCCGAGGGACAAGGTGAGAAAAGGCAGTGATTCTTACCATTTGTGATAGTTGATCAGAAGGTGTGACAAATGGTTGTCACATAGTCCCTGGGAATATATTTCTGGCTACTGACTTGCTTGGCTCTGAAGACAGGTCTCTGAAGAGTGAAATCTCCAGGAACTTTGATTTGGGTCTCCGGTTTGACTAGCAGCAGAATTGTGGTAGAACATCTCAGGTCTTGCCCATCAACATTTTCCATCGGAAAGTCTAGCTAGAGCAAATAAAACATGTAGGCCCCTGGGGATTATTTCCACATAGAGTAATGTTTCATAACTATGTTGGGGGTGGGAATTTGAGGAACTCTGTCCATTCATTCAGTAGAAATCTATTTAGCAGGCACTATATGTCAGGTACTTTGTTGGCATGACCCTCTTGGAATCCGCAGTGCAACAGGGGAAACAGCCTTTTCCCCAAAGATATGCACATACACATGCACATATAGTGTTTTACGAGTAAATTCAAGGTGTTTCTGGACCCCTGAAATCTTTGAGTAAAGCATTCTTGGCATAGACGGAAAGCTCAGCTCTGATGTTGAGGCCCTGTGTATGCCACACAATTCCTACATTTGCTTATCTCTATCACAAATTCAAGAGGATGTAGGCCAGAGACTGCAATCAGAAAAACAAAGATGGATAGACCTGGATGAGAACCCAGAGATATAATGCAGCCTTCTCTTAGAGAGGTCTCATCGACTTGCTCAGCCTGCACAGAGGAGCAAGGAGAAACGTGTAACTGACACCAAAGACTCCAGCGTTCCAGTCTTAATGATTGGAGAAATTGAGAAGAGCTAATGCCACACTGGACTAGACTGATGGTCACTCCAACCTATCATTGCATTTGCAATAGCACCTCCAAGAATTATTTGAAGGAAGGGAGGTAGCCGCCTCCTGGAATGCTGAATTCAACATTTAGGGAAGCATTCCTGACACAGAGCCACCACTGGAGTCACTTGGTAAGAGCTGAGTATAGCTTCTGACCCTCAGCCATTTGCTTCATTGCTCAAGCTACTCTGCCTCCATCATTCAGAATTCAATGGGGGTATAAGAATTAGTCACCACAGGAAAAACCAGTGGATCTGCATGGGGCATAGTAAGCTATTAATTAGCTGATGCTTGTAGAGCACTTTGAAGAACAAACATGTTATGTAACTGCTAATTATAATTACTATCCTCAGCCTGCTACCTTCCACAAAGTCTGTGGCTCCAGCTGCAGCTGTTTCCATGGGTTTATGTGAGCTTTGATTTAAGGAAAGAAAAGGCATTCTCCCTGAAAGCTGTGATCTTTCTGTGAGGAGGCCTTTATGCCCTCAATCAGGATTGGCAGCTAAATTCAATTTCTGAAGATAAAGGGGGTGATTTACATGCTGATTAATTCATGGTGCAGTGCAGATGATCTCTGGATGGGTAGGTAGGAGAGGCTTCTGGAAATGTAGTGAGAGCTGCTGATTACCATGGCTCTTGCTCAGTTACCCCTCTTCTTTTTTTCTTTTCCCCGTTTTTCACTTTTTACCCATTTCTTCACTCCCCTCATCCCAACTGTCTCTGTGTATTTTTGTTGTTGTTTTGGAGATGGAGTCTCACTCCGTTACCCAGGTTGAAGTGCAGTGATCACAGCTCACCACTGCCTCAAACTCCTGGGCTCCAGCGACCCTCCTGCCTCAGCCTCCCAAGCAGTTGGGACTACAGGCATGAGGAACCATGCCTGGCTAAATTTTTTAAAAAATTATTTGTAGAGACGGGGGTCTTACTATGTTGCCCGGGCTGTTCCCAAACTGCTGGCCTCAAGCAATTCTCCTGCCTTTGTGTATTTTACATTTCCCTTTCTCAATGTTCACTTTTGGCTTCCGCTGTCATCTTTTTCTACTTTTCTGTTTCTCTCTGAATGCCTTCTACCTCCGTCCTCTTTTCACCCTTTATCTTCCTGTACCTATATGTTTAGTTCCAAACTGAGTGGAATATTTATTTTCACTCTACCTGGGTTGTTTTTAGTTACCTTTAAAAGTATTTTTGAAGCCACTAGTCTATTGGATTAATAGTACAGATCCGTATTTTAATGGGGTGTGAGCTCTATCAAGATGATGGGACCCCACCCCCCACCCCACATACACACCCAAGGCCAGTTTGGACTGGAAACTCCAGACAGCTGGGAATTAGGCAACCACTTCAGTGTCTGGAAAAACCCCAGGTGGAAGCTTGATGTTAATGAGTCGGTTTACCTCAAGATCAAAGAGACTGATTCATTCTTGATAAGACTTTCCCTGGCTCCATTCTGCACAGGCCATTTGGCTTTTCATGTTTAGAATCTGAGTTAATGATTATAAGGCTGAGAATCACTCACTCCGCACTCTCGGAAGGGTAGCGTCTCTGCTGGAACAGAGGCTGTTTATCTGTAGGATCCTTTCTGTGCCCCTAAACTGCTCCAGGCACTGCTCTGATGCCTCCAGGACTCCTGTTAGCCTCTGCCCCTTCTGTTTGGCTGCTGACCTTCTTCTCCAGCCCACTGAGTGCTCACTTGCAGCCGCACACATTTCAGATGGAACAGAAAGGTCA